CAAAATTCAAATAATTTTTGTATTCAATTAAAATATGAATTAATAGATTTATTTATATATCTTGCGGATTTATTTTCATCAATTATAGTTATATGATTTATTTGATAAATTATAATAAAATGACAATATAATCAATTATATATACGTTTAATTGAATACAATTATAAATTAACTAATATTCATGCATATGCATCATGTTTATTTTTACTTGAAAGTCATTAGTTTTACTTAAATAAATTATATAATAGAAGAATTAAATAATAATATATAAAATGATAATTTAACACAAAAAATTATATCAATTAGTCTTGAAAGACTTTTAATAATTGGTCAATATCCTAAAAATGATATATGGCATTTATATGAAATACGTGCACGTATTTATACATTATTACAACGATCAAATGAAAATACAAATTCGTTAAATAATGAACATGTTAATGAAGAACAAAGAATGATTAATAGTTCATCAATAATATCATCATCAGATAATATTCTTGTTGAACTTGTTGCAGAATAATATGCACGTACTAAACAATCATCAACATTATATCATGATTACTTGCACATCTTGGTTTATCGGATTGTTTAATGAATAAAATAGTTTTAGAATTTGCTGCATCAACACAACAATTATATCCTCAAATACTTGAATATACAGTTTTTGCTGTTTTTTTGTACTTTAATTAATGTACGTTATTCAACTAAAGCTAATAATTAGACTTTATTATCAATGACAAGTATTGCACAAGGAAAATCAAGATGTATGACTATATGAGGGTTAACTTGTTTTAGGTTAAGTGTATGTTCATCATATAGAATTGCTGATGCATTGTAAGTATTTACTTAAATCATTTATTCTTAATGTTTAAAGAAAAAAAAATTGTATTGAAATTTAATAGTGAATTAATATTGCACGAGTTTTTCTGAATTTTTTCTTATGAGTAAAATCGAGTGAAGTTGTATTTGGGTTGTTGAATGAGCTTTTTTTTTAATCTATGGTTAAATATTCTTTTTAGTTCTTTTTTTCAAATTATCAAAATTTACACGTAAGATTAAAATTTATTTGGAAAAAATAAATAGTAGAATATTAATGAAAAAAAAAACTCTTTGTTATAATTGCGAAGGAATAACGATCAAAACAAAATCAATAAATTTCATCATGAAATATTAAAATGAATTCTCATAGATAATATAGTATATCTTTTACTTCTTTAGGCTTTCACTGATATTATTATGTTTCAGTGCTCATATTGTTGGTCGCGAATATTATCTGCAGGTATTATAAAAGAAAATCTTCAAATATTAATTGTATCAAAATGAAATCTATTTTACTTATTTTATTTAACGAATATCGAACAATGACGTCAATTTAAACAAGCATTCATAAATGGATCGAATCCAGCAAAAATTATATGCTCATTTACTTGCACACATTCAAAATACGATCTTATCATCGTCTTGAGTCTTGATGTGGGTGTATAGATATTGTTTGGATGTGTTAATGGATCATATACTCTCTCTCATTCATACCCAAACCCTCAAATAACAATCATATCTAGATTATCATTAAATTTTAGTTACATATACTAATAAAAAATAAGTTAAGTAAAATATCTCTAGTGAACGTTATATTATTGTTTGCAAAAGATAATCAATTTTCACGAAAACTATCAGTCACATTTACTTTGTGTAATTGTGCTCTAATTTTTGTTTGGCTTGTTGCTTTGTATTTTCATATCCTGTATTTTATTATGATTTCAATCATTGATTTAACTAGTACATAAGTCGGTTAAAGTATTCACAAACATAGTTTATCCATTGAAGTTTCAAGAAAGGTTTTAAAATGTTTTCGAATAGTCTAAATCTAGTTGATGATGTCATTCTTCCTCTTTTTATTAGGAAAACTATGCTCATTGGTCTCTGACCTTTAAACCATGTCGGTGGTGTCTAAGAGAAAGCTGCACAAATCTGGACTAATACTTGCATTTATAATCAGTAATCCTTATATCGTTTTGGTTTAGTACATTATTAGTAAAAGTACCGACTATATATCATTCTACTGCACTGTTTTCTGAAAATCCATTGAAAATGATAAATTCAAAAAGTTTCGCACTACAATCGTTTCTTTTTATTCAAATAACAATTCTTTTTTTCTTGATTTATTATTCGTATTTTTTCTTATTTTTTTATCAATACAACAAAAAATTTCATAATAAAGAAAAACAATTGAATATTTTTATGTAAAAAGTAACTCATCCTTATTTTTAGTCAATATTATTATTATAATTTTTATATACAAAAAAACTGTTTATGTATCATTCATTTCATCTTCATATATTAGAAAATATGAACATTAGTGTTTTCTTGTAAGATGACAATCCGATTATCGCTTTACAGTGTTTAACGATAATTATCAGAAAGGGAATCAAACAAACTTCCACAGGTTCGAGTTCAGTTCAGTGTCTGACAGGTATAGTATTGTTCTGCAAAGTTATTTTAGATTTTTAATTAATAAGAATTTGTTTATGAAAACCATAAACTTTGGTAAGTTAAAACTCAACAATACAATCATCAAAATACATGACTTCAGAAAAAAATAGATCATAAATAACGAAAATCCGATCATCACTATAGAATATTCTGTAAGAAAATGGTTGCATAGTGTTTCTGTTACATTCTGAAGATATTAAAAGACTTCTACACAAACTCAGGTTAAACAAGCAGACGGTAAGATCTTACAAGATAGAATACTTCAAACATATTTAGATTTAATTTTAAATTTCTTCGTGAACTTGGTAAATTTTTATAAATGTAAATTGATTGCACATCGTTTGATACTCGTATATAGCATCATAACTTTACAAAAATGATTATATCTTAGCTAATCATTTTTTTTCTCATGTGTTTGTCTATATTTATTCATTAATATCTGTTTGTGTCGAAATCCGTTGTCCCAATGGATAACATGATGCCGAATCTTGTTCTATTTTAAGATGGGCGTATTCTTCAAATCTTTTTTCTCACAATCTACTTTCATGATTTAAATTTTTTGTTCTAACTTATCTAACTTTGATTCAAATATTTTTTTTTTATTGTTGACACAGTAAACTTTGTATAGATGTGACAAAACAAAATAAAGAAATCTTTTCGCGTATAATTTCATTTGAACAGATGTGTATACAATAAGGTGTGGATTTTTGGTTCATCTACCGATTCACATACCCTATTGTCTATGAATTATGGTTAAGATAGAAAAAAGTGTAAAACAAATATTGTTTTCGAACTTTTATCTTCTGTTCCAACCGATTCTATCCATATTCTAAATTCAATCAGAGTTGCGTTTAAGCAAGTCAAATGATTGAGTATATAGTGGAACTTTAATTCACGGTAAGTAACATAACTTATCGTTGTATTCTTCACTTTTTCTCTTGGAGAAATATTTCTTTGTTTTTCGATTTTGGGACAATTATCAATTCAGTTTGCATTTTTGTTTCAACAAAGAAGTCGTTGTCAACTCGTCTAGACTAAGAAAATATTTTTCCACAGTTACAGTTAATTGTCTCCCTCTTTTGAATAAATCAATCAATCTCATCTCCATTTTTCTAGCTAACTGTGTCTTATTGGCATCTAAGATAACTCGATTTCCACCACAATGACTTTCTCTCCAATATGTCATTCCCTGAAGTCATATTTTCACGTACATTCGCCATCGACGAAATTCAGAAACTGAGATATTATCAGTTAAGTCTCCGAATCTTAAATAAATATATTTCTTTCGAATAAGTGAAAATTTAGATAAAATTGAAACTGGTTTGTATCACAAATATTCACTCTGTTGTTTAATTAGCCTTAAGAAAAACTTGTATTTCTCGTCAAAAAAAAAAGAATATTCACGTTTGGATATTTGAAATATAAATTTTTCAAAAGTTATTCAAAATAAAAAGAGAACTTTGTAAGGTCACAATCCGTAAAATGATGATGCTGAAATCTTGCAGAACTCTGGTAGAAATAATTAATAGTTATGTCATTAGTTGTTTTAAAAATATTCGCTAGTCAAAGAAACATTTCAATCATTAGCCTTAATAATGATTTCAATATAATGTAGTATTTAGGCATAAATTTTTTGATTGCTAGTAAATTTATCGATAAAAATCTTGAACAAACTGTTTAAACTCTACTGAAAAGTCATGATTTTTATAAGTTTCTTCGCACATCAAGATGAGTTCAGTGAATGATAAAGTTAATTTAGTCAACTATTGTCTTTGTAAGAAGATTCATGGTTTCACAGACTACCTTATGCCTTTTTCTTTTGATATCAGATATGATTGTTGTTACTCTTTTCAAAGAACTATTGCCTTTGGTCAATTCTATATTCAAGTATCAAACTTGTTTGTGTCTCCTCTATGATTATAAGTATAGCTATGGCCATTAGTACCACAATAATTCATTCTAACACACCATAAACATTAGATATTTTATTTATTGTTTTACATGTGCTGTATTTCTACGATGAATGTAGGTAACAATATTTTAGAATTTTTGATTAAAAAACAACAAGAGAAAAGTTAGAAAAAGTTACCAATCCTTCATTTTGATCTGATTATGTATAGATGTCTAAGTCAAATTGTTTGATTTGCCTCTTCTATTTGTTTTTTCATAGATCTTTTATAGTTCTACAAAAGATTTCTTTTTTGTCTATCGCATTCATATAGTTATTGAACATAATAAAAGGTGATTGAAAAGTTTCGATTTCTATCAGTAAATTAATAGTAATTGATCGAAATATATGATTTAATAGAGAAAAAGAGAGAGAAAGCTTTATCTAATAGGAAGACAATTTGAAATACATCAATATATTCCACTGCTTGCTGAAATTTTATCAATTTCAAGTGAATACTTTCATCTTATATTTTTGAGAAAAATTCTTTTTCATGATACTTATCATTTCAATGGAATAATATTCATTTATCTAGCATCTTTTATTGAATTTCAAAAAGAACACTAAGACAATTTCAATTAAACCTGCAGAAATTGTCAAAAAATATATCCAACCGAGTAGAATATTAGATAACAAATACCAAAACAGGAAACTTTTCAAACATAAGATTGTCAATATGAATATCTTTAGGAATATAAAGAATGTTACAAAATTAAAATCATAATCATCTAATATCATGAATACTATTGTATAGAAACAACAAATTTTGTAATTAAACCTTTTAGGATGAAAAATAAATACAGCTGTTATGAAAAAAATTCTTCTTAATGAAGTGTAAGATGAAACTAGCCATTGAAGATTAATACGATAGGAAAATAACATTGAACTAGATTGATGCATTCTACAATATTATATATTTCAATCAATGAACAGTTTATAAATTCATTGTCTTCTTATATTAACTTGTCATATATGTTTATCCACATGAAAACGACAATGAGACAAATGCTTGTAAGGTTTTTTACATCAAAATATTAGCTGTAACTGAGAGTTTCTACACTGAAAAAAACTGATTTTTA